CCACACACACACACACACACACACACACACACACACACACACACACACACACACACACACACACACACACACACACACACACAACCTCTGCAATCGAGTCCCTCCTACACTCACTGGCTCTTCTTTTCTGGGGGTAAAATCCTCATCTTTGGCTGGCATGTCAACCTTCTCACTACCTGGCCCCTTTTCCATCCTAACTGAAAGGCCACACATGCTGTGGCCACACTCAATTTTCCACTTTTCTGAAAATTTCTCCAAATCCTTGCAAGGCCTCATTTAAAATCTGCCCCCTTCTGAGAAGCTGTTTTCTGCTTTGTCAGGCAGAGGCCAGAACTTCTTCCTGTGGAATTTACAAAGTGTGTTGTTTCGCTCCCATCAAGAGCCAAAGGTTTTAGGGCCTGTTGCAAATGTATGGCCATAATGTTGATTTTGTAACTGTATTTCACAGAACTGGTTTGCTCATACAAATTTTAATATACCTTATACTACTAGTATTCTGAAAGAGAAAAAACCTATATATTTTTATTGTAAATGTGTATAAGTATTCCTTAAGCATGAAAATGTGTGTGTGTGTGTGTGTGTGTGTGTGTGTATCCCTCCAAACAGTACAACTTCTCTGGGTGATAAGTTCTATAACTATATTCTTCTTATTTATCCATCTATATATTGTTTTTCTCTCTCCTCCCTCAAAGAAAACCGTCTTACCATTTGAATATTCACTAAGTTTCTTACTAAACTGTTATTTTTGGGCCCACCTCTAACTCCTTGCTCACTGCACTCCTCAGAGGAGATTCCAAGAGAGCATGTGTATTAACATGACTGTCGCTGTCCCAATAGGTCATTTCTGTCTGTTCCTCAAGTTGTTTTTTTCTTAGCCCAGAGAGTTCACGCCAGCCTAGGGCATATCTACAGGCACACACCTAATTATCGAGGTTCTTTTACACTGAAGATTAAAACTCTGGGATTAATCATCCTCAAGGTTTAAAATAGTAAGATCTACTTTTGAGGCCTTAAGATGTTTCTGGCGAGGAGATGGGCACATAGCTCCACCTACTGGATAAGAGGGAGTCTGGGTGACTTTTGAGGCTGTTCAGCAGAACTCTTAGTAGAAGTCCTGTAGAGGACACTGAGCCCTAGATCAGCACCATCATTTTAAAGATGGGGAAAATGACACTCAGACGGTACATGAATCCTGCATAAGGCACAACACAGAGGAAGTGGTGAGCCAGAATGACAGCCAGACCTAGGCCGCCTGGCTCTTAATCCCTGAGAAGGCAAACTCTTAAAAATATGTAAAGATCTCACTCAAGATAAACATTTCAACAAGTGTCTTTTTCACCTTCAAATACCTTTTCCCAGGGCACTTTTCTTCCCCCCACAAAATGATTACTTTGAAAAGAAATTTTAAAACCTAGAAAATTCTATATATGAGGATTGAAAAAATAGTTTTAAAACTTTTCTTGGAAAAGGGGCTTAACTGTTAAGACGAGCTATCTTTTAGTAATAAAGAACTCTTTCTGCAGCCAAATGGCATCTGACCCAAAGCTAACCCGGTGGGAGATGGATCACAGAAAAGAACAGGAGCTTCCCACGGAGGAGGCTCCTATAAAGATGCTTGTTGAATGTTCAGCAGATGATAGTACAAAAATCAGCAACGGTCTGTCACTTATTAGCATTCACCAACCTTTCTGACTTGCTGAGGTTGACTGAGCACATGTGGCGTGAAAGTGTCTTGTTTCTGAGGTGCAGTCTGGGCCAGGCCTGAGGACAAGGTGGCAGTTGCTATCTGAGGCTGAGTCTGGATGCCTGTTTGTGGTGGAGTCTAGGAGGAAAAAAAAAAAAAAAAAATCAAATGAATTGTCAAAATCAAGGTTAGAATGAAGAGTTTAGATGTGGAATAACTGGTCACTTGGGGATCACATCTAAAAAAAAAAAATAAGATAAAATGTTTATAGATACACACTCCAATTCATTGGCACATAAATTTGAACCTTCGTTTGAAACCAGAGAGTTAAACACCAGACCAGTTATTTCCATGCTCTTACTGTTTCGTAAGTGGCTAAGATTTTCATTTGAAAATTTGGGGAAAATAGAAGACTGAAATCAAAAGAACCTACAGCAGCTCTACACATAATAAATAGGTCAGGTGTTATAATAATAATTTTAATAGCAGCAAGGAAATTTGTGAGGCCTGACTGTGCAAATTCCTGCTTTTGAGCTGCAATATGTGCTCCCTATGGGAGAGCCAGCCACGGGCCGGGCGCTCACAGGCCCAGAATAAAACTAATTCCTGTTCCTCGAACATCAACTCTAATGGAAGAGCTGGACAGGAAAACAAATGTTTAGGAAAGCTGTATCACAGAGCAGACACTCTAAAGATGAAACAGGGGAGTTAGGACTTCAGAACACGCCGAGGGCCCTTGGGTCAGGCCTCCTAACCCCGGGGGTACAAGACGACTCCTCTCTGGGTTGTCAGGGTAGAGAAGCAGGACTCCAAATGGTTTCTGTGTACTGTGGCCCACATTTTGTTTAAAAAAGCCTTCCATAATTGAGTTGCACAGAAACGGCTGCAGGCAATGCTGGCATAAAAGTAACCGTCATGCTCACCAGTGTTTCATCGTTTCTCAACACCAGCCTCACTCCTGAGTCTGTGGTCGCATTCTCCTTAGTTTAGGCATCTTCACCTCAGCGGTGGCTTTTAAGGACTACATTTAGGAGGCAGAGCACAGGAGTGGGCGTGAGAGCAAGAGCTCTGCAGTCCGAGGCCTCGGCTTGAATGCCAGCTCTGACCTTGGACAACTTATTAAACCTCTGAAGCCCTCGGTTTCCTTTCTAGAAGGGGGCTTTCTCACTTGGGTCTTCTGGGACAAGGGAGGATTAAATGAAGCATGCCATCTAAAGTATCTGATGCTGTGCCTAGAACACAAAAAGCACTCAGGACAGCAGCTGTCATCATTATGAGAATGCCATTGGTATTTTAAAATGCCTACACATAATAATACTGTGTTAGAGGTGAAAGGCAGCAGAAAGGGAAAAGCACCCCTTGTTTGTTTTTGCTATATAAAAACAGTGCTAGCTGTTCACGTTTGTGAATAACCCCTCAACACGTGCACACGTTTCCTGCAACCGTGAAGCCTGACTTGGCTGCACTTATGAAGCAGCTCAGCTCTGAAATCTCCATAAGCAATTCCTGGTCCATGCAAACTGTAAGGCAAAGGAGTTAGAAGACACACTTCACACCTGGAGTTTGAGGCTGCCTACTGGGAGCTGCACTGAGGTGACACCGGAGCCCTGGATGGACACGGGGAGCAGCAGCTGCGTGGTGTGCGTGGTCAGTAAAGCCTGTGGCTGAGCCACCCCGGCAGGCGGCTGGCCCTGGGAACTCACGTAAAACTGCGGGACGAGGCTTGGTGGCTCGGCCGGGGCCACGGGGACCTCTTGCTTGATCACTATGGCCTTTTTGGCAACGAGGGTCTGGCCGGCCACTAGGCTGGGGCCGTCGGGGACCAGGGCCTCGTCCTTGGCGGCGGGAGCGGTGCCGCCCCGAGCCTGGTCTGACTTGGGGACTGGAGGGGCCGGGGTGCTGGGCGGGGGCTCCAGTGGCCGCTGCTGCTGCCCTCGTTTCTCCACCTCCAGCTGCATCTTCAGAACTTCCACGAGCTTCTGCTCTTGTTCCAGTTTCCGCTTCAGCTCTTCGATCTGCTTCTCTTTCTCCTGGAGCTTGCGGTCCTTCTCGGCTGCGTCGAGCTCCAGGGTGGACAGCGTGCTGCTGGTGGGGCTGAGGCTGTCCTCGGTACTCGTGGCTCGCAGAGGCGACGAGCACAGGAACTGCGACGGGGACATCATGGTCATGATCTCGGTGAACGTGTCCGCCACGCTCGCGTCCTCGGCGCTGAGACTGGACTGTTCAGAGGGTGCAGGTGAGATGGGCAGCGGGGAGCTAACACCGTCCACGTGGGCTGTGCTGCTGGATCCAGTGGATGGCAGCTCTCCCTTGAAAGTGGAGCCTGAGCTGGTCACAGAGTTCTGCAGTGTTGTCACTGGCAGGGCCATGGTAACTTCTGGGTTACTGGGGACAATGGCAGATGTCGACAGGGCCACGATGCCACCGGTAGCAGCACCACCGCTGTTCATTTCCTGGTAGGGTTTCAGGCGTTCAATGAGGTCCAGTTTGGTGCCTGACACTGGAAGACCCCTTAACTTCAGTTCTGTCTTCAGCTCCGACACCTGAAGTACAAACAAATAAGATCTCTTTTTTCGTATTATGACCTTCTCACAAACCTTCAGTGCACTTTTGAGATGGAAAAGGTGCCTACATCTGTCAGACATCTCCGTATTACTACATATATGAAAGCGGGACAGTTCCTTTTTCTTTTTTTTTTAACACACAAAAACACACAGAGCTGGAGACCTAAAGGACTTGAAAGGCCAGTGATAAAGCAAGGGTTATTAGAGGGTAATTCCTTTACTATATCAAAAGATTTATTACCAGAAATGATGATGCTAACAGTTACATTTATTGAGTAATTACCATGTGCCAGACACTGCCAGAAGTGCTTTATTCTTTCAGTTAATCTTCACATGAGGTCCAGGTATTATTATTCCCGTTTTACAGATGGGGAGAGGGTGCATTGCTAGTGCAAGCTACTGCAGATAACAGAAGGCTGAGCGGGGGTAGAGCCCAGGAAGGATGGCCCTGGAGATCATGTTCTTAACTGTTACATTTTCCTGCTTCTCCCAAACTTGGCAACGAATAGGGAAGAAAAAAATCTGCTTCTGGAGTTAGGAGTGGTGTGGTGCTTGCACATGGCATTTGCTCAATAAATGGAGATTTATTCCTGGTCATTTTAAAGGAAACTTAATGGACGTAGAAAGAAAGTACCTCTATAAAGGTTATCCTATTGGTGGTAAAGGTGAATATCTATTAGGAACTACCTACACCTGCTAGGCAAATCTGGCAAATCATTTACATTTTTGTGGTACTTTTGGGTGAAGAAACCCCACTTGCAGTGATCACCTTTAAGTCATCCAAGCTAGAAGGCAGAGGCCCTGGCTTTCTCATAGGAGCAGATGTATTCTGTCTTGGTGTGTTAGATGTGGTGTTGTTCAAAGCTGGATTCCCACTGTTGTTATTCTTGTCATTGAGTGGCCTTCAAAAGAAAAAGAAAGTTAGAGTTTCTAATAACATAATTTCTGGGATTGACATTGCTCCTGCTAACAATCTGTTAACTTACAAAGAGAAAAATACCTGGTCATGGATTGGCAGACTCAATATGGTAAAGACGTCAGTCAAATTGGACCCCAGTCAAAATCCCTGCAGGTTTTGTGTGTTGTTTGCTTGCTTGGTAGAGATTCAGAAGGTGATTCAAAGCTTTATATGGAAATGCAAAGGACCAAGAATGGCCATGACATCTTTGAAGTAAGAAAGCAAAGCTGGAAGCATCATACCACCAGATATCAAAATTTATGGTGATGCTGATGCAAGGACAGAACAATAGACAAATGGGAGAGATTAGAGAATCCAGAAACAGACCCCCAAGTACAAGGACCCTCACATCATCACAAAGGCGACACTGCAGTGTGGTGGAGAAAGGGTGGTTCTTCTCATAAATGCTAATAGGCTAAACTGGATATTCACACAGAGCAGAACAGGGCTTCTGATCAACCCCTACCCTTACACCATCCCAAAACCTAAATTTGAATTGGAAAACAAACTTTGAGAAGAAAACTTCGGATAGTATCTTCATAGCCTTTGATAAGCAAAGATTTCTTAGGACACAAGAAGTACTCACTAAAAAGGATATCTTTCAGAGGGTGAAAAGTCAAGCCCCGGGAGAAGATTTTGTAATACGTATTTCTGACAAAAGCCTCATCTAGAATACACACAGGAGTCTTGCAAATTAGTAAGAGAAAGAGAAGCCCAATGGGAAATTGGGAAAATCATGAACAAGCATATCACAAGCAAGTATATCCAAATGGTCGATAAATATGTGAACAAGTGCTTAACCTCATTAGGTATGATTTACACAGAATAGACAACAATAAAAATTAACTGCTGCTTTCTGCATCAGGAAAGATGCATCTCACAAACATAATGTTGAGTGGAACTGACCTATGGGACAGAAGTCAGGACAGTCACTGCCGGGGGATGCAAGGTAGTGGTAATGGAACTGACAGTGCTCCATTTCTTGATTTAGGTGGTTACAGGAGTGTGCTTACTTTGGCATCAGTTTTCACTTATGATTTATGGACTTCTCTACCATATACTACATTTTTAAAAGCTTATTTAAAAAATATTGGTGAATCTGTTGCACTAATTTCCCTAAACTCCTTTCCGTGTCAAAGCCAGGTCCTCCCGACCCCTTCCGACTGTAATACTCCTGGCAACAATGGCATTTCCTTTAATGGCTGTTTGATATTCATTAAAGGAAGGTGCACATGGTGGTTGATACTGTACAGCCAATTCCAGTGCAGCCTCAGGCTTTACTGTCAATGTAAGCTTTGGTACTGAAGCCAAAGAGACCCTGAATTCCATGTTTCGAAATAGGGATCTAGGTCATGGTGCCTATGGGGTGAGGTCCGTGGCTGGATGAGCTTTCTCAAATGGGTTTTAGGAAGCCTGTGTTTGAAGCCAGTTCTGGCCTTGTCAACAGCTAATTCTTGACATACATTTGAGTCTTTTTAAACCTGACTGCATTTTGCTGAAATTAAATACCTGAAGTATTCGAAATGAAGTTTCTTGAAGTTTGGAGGAAATGACAAATATCTGAAAATGTATCACTATTCTTTCTAAAAATTCAATTTTTAAATCTTATTTTAGAATTACGAAAGCATTTTATTTTAATCATTGTTTCTCAGCCTTATATTCATTATTGTCCCCCCGAGAAGCCTTTTTAGACATTTTTTCCCTAATCACTCTCCCTATGAAATTTTAATACCGTAGATGTACTGCATTTTTGTCCACATACTATGTATGTAGGTCTATTCTTTATTAAATAAAAAGTGTAAAATTCCCTCCAAGGAACTTTTGCTCCTTTGCGAATGATAGGCTCTCCTTGAGAATGCATGATTTAAATTAATTATTCTATTCACGCTGTCTTTCTGGTTGAGATTCTACAATACTCTACTTGTTACTATGATTAACAGTACAGTGTTGAATTCAACTTTTAAAATAACTGAAATAATTTGGTCTATTTTTTTCCCCAAATCAACCAGAGGGAAAAAAGGGGGATGGATGCCTGATGAATGTGATCACTGTGTAGCTGAGGATTCTGAGGTCCAGAGACCCTCCAGGACCCTTCCTTTCCGTCAGTGTGTGGCCACTCTGGGACTAAGGCCCCATGTCTTCAGGCTCTTGCTTCTTCCAAGATACCAAAGGGCTGTGTTATCAGTAAAATTCCACCGCTGCGGGCACCAGAGAACTGCCACATTCAGTTTCTTGTATGGAATTTCGGTAAAAAGAAACAATGTGTTAGAAAATAACATCTCCATTTTTAGGACCTGGAAATTAAACAAAACTGGCATTCCCTCTTTGGCTGGTGCAATAAGACACAAAAATGAGGGCTCCTTCTTCCTCCTAGTTCTTGGGTCTTTTTGGATGATGCCTTCCTGGGGCAGGAGGCTTGCTTACTTCAGTGGCAGGAATGTCTGAGGAGGAGAGGGCGGACTGAAGCCTTCACGGAAAGACAGAGAACTTCAGAGTTCAGGTACCTCACACCTCAGATGTTTTCTTCCCATCTACAAAGTTGGCCCCATACAGACAATTTCTTGCATTACAGAAAAGACTATTTCATGGACAGACACCGCCTTTTATGGGATTTGCAGTTAAGTTTCCTCATCTGGGAACGGGGTCAGGAATAACATCAACTCCTCTGAGGGTCACTGTGAGGAGGATGCCGAGCACACGCTCAGGCACCGAGAGTGGCACCTACACGGGAGCCATCGTTGCCGTTATCCTCACTGGTGCCCAGTGGTGGTGACGGTGGGGGCCGCCTCCCTGGGTCCTGGATGAAGCTGTAAAGCAGCGGTGGTTTGTCTTTGATACTCGTCCAGTTCTCTGGCCTTCCCTGGGTCCCTTCCAATGTCAACAGCTCTCAGGCCTGCTTGCTCTTAAAATAATAACACGCTACAAAAATTCTTTCTTCCTTCATCGCTGTGCGCTGGCGTTTTCGATTTAAGTACTTCACAGGAAGGCCTGAATGACTAATAGGTCTAATCGTCCTCAAGATATTTGTATCTTACAAGGAAAAAGTGAATTGATAATTATTAGCGTATGAGGAGATACTTCTTAAAGATAAGCTTTTTAATAAGTCTTAATCCTTTTCTACTCCTAGAAAATAGGGGCTCTCCATGGAGGAGTGCTCAGCCTACGTGTGGAAAACAGAAGTAAAGCTTCTGTAGATCATGTAATCACAAACTGAGTGCATGGATCACAGAGTATCATTTCTCCCTGTCATGAGATTTTGGATCTTTCTCTAGAGTTCCTTTGCTCGAGTCGACTGTAAATATTCCTTTTTCCTGAAAAGTGAATGAAATGAAGGACAGAGTCCTTGCATTTTTATCTGTTTCCCAGAAAAGTGTACTGAGGATTTGTTATCTAGAGATTTCCTCTAGTACATAACTAAAATTAGCTGTGCATGTCTCAGAATTCAGTCTCAGAAATCGTCAGAACTTACTCCCTTCTGTCCCTCCTGACTGGGCTCAAACTTTGGAAACATGTTCCTTCTTCACAGTTATCGCTCACCAAGACCTTTTACTGTCTTTTGAAACATCTGTTACCTGTTCCTGCCTTCCCATTATCAGCGCCCTTTCAACTTCTTGCATCTACTTTATCGCAGAGTTTCTAACTGGTTTTCCTATGTCCAGACTCCCCTCCAATACTGGTGTCAAACTGTTCTTTCATGCATTTCGATTTTACCATGTTACTGTGGCCCTCTGAAACATCCACTGTATCAAGATTAAAGTCGTCCCAACTTCATGTTCCTCTAGACATTGGCTCTACTCAAATCTGTCTTCCACTTTTCTTAAAAACTAACCACATTCTTTATTCAGGCCTTTTTTCCTCACTATGTAATAAATAGGCATTGTTTGCTCTGTACTTGCGCTCAGATCATTCCTCTTTGCTTGGAAGGCTCCTTCCCAAGTTTCAGGCCCTTTCCCATGTAAGTATCCTGCCTTTTTCATAAAGCTTTCCCTTGACCACTGCAGCCTCCAGCTTTTATGCTCCTCCGTCCTTTTTTTTTTTTAACTGTTTATACCAGGTTTACACTTTTTTTTTTTTTTTTTTTTTTTTTTTTTT